AGTAAAAAACAAAACTTTAAATAGAAAAATAGATACAGTCCAAATTAAAATTGATAATAAAAATTACTAATAGAGAAAATGGCAATTATGAGTCAGGCGCGATTCTTGAAGCGCAACATTAAATTCAATATAAACAGCATTAAGCATTCAGTGATTCTTATATTAATATATAAGAATGTTTCGAATCTTTTTTGGGTCATCATCAGATAAAAATAGTCCAGTATAAGTAATATTTAAACATTTTCGACCAAGTGATAAGAAAAAAATTAAATTTCTGAAAAAGTCTAACAGAAAAGTAAAACATTTTAATTAGTCTAAAACGTTAAGTGAAAACTCCGGAACAATAAGCAATTTTAATTAAATTTATCGATTATTTAAAATATTAGGATTAAATTTAGAAATTATTTTTGTAATGATTAAACTACATTTTGACGCAGAAAAGAAACATTGATTCTGACCATTTTTCTCTTGCAGGCATTATCATTCGATGGAAGTATTCGCTACTTTCGACGTAATCGATTCGAGTGGCAATAAAGTTGCCGAAGGCCATAAAGCGTCCTTCTGCCTCGAAGACAATCAATGTATGCCCGACATTCAACCCAGGTAAAAAATCTGATAACACATGATAACAATCGTAGGTCCCTCTTTTCGCGATTGACACGCACAGGTAATTTTACCGTTAATTCCTCTCTGTTCTTTTCGTGATTACGATCGCGATTAAATCTAACCATCAGTTATCAGTTGAAGTTCATAAATTGAAATACTATTACTGTTTTAGATACAAATGCGCCAATTACGGAGACCAAGGTATTTCCGTTAATTGCAGTGACATTTACAAGCACAATATCGACTGCCAGTGGGTGGATATTTCCGAGCTCGAGCCAGGACATTATACGCTCAAGGTACAGTCGTAATAAAGTCATTTTCATAAATATCAAATACGAGATCTCTTTAGGCGAGTTCACGAGTATCCGACTCCACAGAGGATTTCGAGATGAATAGCTTTTCCTTTTGTTTCCAGGTCGCGGTAAATCCCGAATTCAAAGTTGGTGAGATGTCGTTCGATAATAACGCTGCGATCTGCCGCCTCCTTTATACAGAAACTTTTGCAACTGTCCACAGTTGCATAATGGGACGTCCTTGACATGCGATGTGTACACGACTGCAAAGATTTTTCTAGCTGGAGACAATCTACAGGGTGAGAGATTCATGTCGAGCGCGTTGGCGTTAACTGGACATGACGACAAGAGGCGACACATTGCGACCTTGCGATGGATTCGTGAATAAATTTCACAGTTTAAAAGCAGAATTTCAGTCGGAACGTAAGATGCATCATGTAATTTAAAAAATGACAATTGTTTTCTCTTTCGTTAAAATGAATGGAAAGAGAAATGCTGTTTTAAAATTATTACACTATAGTTGAAAGATTTATTTTTAAATATCTCCAGCGTATATATTATTATAACTCTATAAGGTATTTCTAATATAATTATAAATTGTAAGAAAAGCTAATATAAAAAATAAAAGCAATTTTGAAATACAATGGCTCAATTTTAACTTCCGTCTCTAAATTGATTCTATTTATTTATAATGTAAATTCAAATCTAAAAACATTTTATTTTATTATATTAATTAACCATATGATTTTTACATTATATAATGGACTAAATTATCTTACTTTATGAAAACGAAAAACATTAAAAGACACCATATATGCATTACAAATTATATAGAAGAATTAAGAGTAAATTCATTCCATTATTATGTCTTACACATTTTATATCTTTCATTCTATATGTTCATTATACCACATATGATTTTTTAGTCTATAAATTTATTTCCATTAAATTTACAGACACGACAGAATTAGAACAATAGACAGTCTTTGAAAAAAAAAAAAAAAAGCATCTCTCGTGCTCACTGAATAACCGGTCTCCGCTGTCGGCTTTCTAAACCCTATCGTCTCCATTCACGCAACTTTTCGGATAATTACAGAGCACTATGGTGCGACCCTAGCCAGGTAATTACTGATGTAGCTCGGCTATATAGGTAGATATCTAGACCTGTGCGCGCCTAGCGAGAAGCAACCGGGTGTGCAGATCGAAGCAGCCCACTAGCCGGCCACTTCCTCATCTGACATGCTGGCCGTGTACGGAATCACAAGTTTCGGAGTCTAGGACTGAATTTATAGACGTTTCTCGTACGTGTGGAACTGTTCTAGATATGTTCGCGATTCTCTTATCGAAAATTCTTAGGATAACTGAGACAACGGCTTTGCGCTCGATAAAAGTACAAAACGGACGTTCACGCTCTTCTGAGGATCCCGAGAGATTGTCTAATGTCTCGCGTACACGGCAACGTTAATTATGGTTCCGGGGAAAATGACTATTCGCAGTCATATCGGAGATACAAGTTTGCCCTAGGCCGAGTCTAGGATAGAGGCGTGCTGCGTCACGCTCGAATACTACGTTGGATATTATCTTACCTGCTAGCAAGTGATTCCACACAGATATATCTATAGCTGAGACAACCATGTATATTTTCTCGTTCCTGTAGAACAGGCCTGTCCAATTTTGGCTCCGAAGCCAAAATGTAAAGCCATCGATGTAAAAAATTCAATGCTGGTAAAATTTCGAGGACTGTAAAGTGTTGATATGCATCTGATTGTGAGCGACGCTCTTCAATACTGTACAGTCCTTGAAATCTTACATTGAATTTTTTTGCTTCGATGGCTTTACGTTTTGGCTTCGGAGTTTAAATTGGATAGATCTACTGGAGAGTATCTTAATATTACCATCGAGCATGTTACAAAGCTTTAGAAGACAAATTGCTAATTGAAGAGCTAGCAAACAAATAGCTCCACGATAGTCTTGTCTTAATCATCGTAGAACTATGATTGTTCTGTTAGTGACATTGACGACTTATTATTATAAATAGCGATTTATATGAGCATTCATAAAAAAAAAATCGTAGCAATTTCTCGGTTGGAAACTTTCCAAACTCCCATAAATAAAAGTTTCTTGCGCAACTCTATTTTTTGACGTGTTGTGAATAACGTATACACAAAGATATGATAAGATCATCAAAACATGAATATTTTAAGATATATTTTATATTTTATTATCGAAATGTATTGACGTAAAATATACAATTTTTTACGAAATATCAGCTTGACAAATGTCTTAATCCTTGTGTATGCAAAAAAGAAGAAAGAAAACAAAATATATTTAATATTTCAGAGTCGACAAAAAGATTCAATTGAGAAAGTTTCTGTGAAAATATTTTCGTCAATCTTTTGGGAAGAAAGCAAAGCATCACGAGGGATATAAAACAATTATAACAGTCGTCGTAATATTCGCTCTATGTTTTAGGCAAATTAAATTTGTAATCACAAAGAAGTCGTAAAACGGACTTGCGAAAATTAAGTTAACTACGACTTTACGCCGATCTCAGCCTTCTCCTCAACAAAGAAACAGCGTGACAGGTCGAAGGATAATTAAATTGTCATTCTGACTACAATAAAATTAACATCAAACGCTGTTTTTTTTTTTAATATTTACAAAGTCACGTAAAGCAAAATGATGTTTTATAGCATATATTTTGTGTATTATAATGATGAGATTATATAATATACAATATATATATATAAATATGAAAGATAATTGTATTTTTAGTTTCTGTATAATAAAGTTGTAGAGTTTAATGAGACAAAAAGCTTAAAAGTATGGTAGTACATTGATCACACGGAAAGAACAATTCTGTTCAATTATCTATTATAAAAATTTAACTAAATGCAGATCTAAAAATAATTTTGTTACATTGTCAAAGTAATTACGTAGGAAACATGCTGTCGCGAAAAATTTATTCTAGCAATCAGCGTTCTATGTATAAAATTAGTGTAACAAAATTATGTTCAAATCTGTATCTGTGTTAAATTCTTAGATATTTCAGCAAAACTATCCTTTTCGTACAAATTTTATCCAATTTCTACTTAAATTTTTTTACGCAGCACTCAAAAAGAAAAGTCAACTGTCAATTACGCATCACGTCTAGTAGCAACGTGACTGATCATATAATCCATTTAAAAAAACATAGTGATAGTCTGACAAAGGTACGGCTTCCGTAGATAGCAGCGTAGTGTCACGGCGACTTTGACTCCACATGTCACAGAATAGAAAAGCACGTAGCGAGTCTTGCTAGCGACCATCACGCCTGGGGAACTGGAGATCACTATTGTTCGAGGGAGAATTTTTCGAAGTGACAAAACCACTCAGAATAATTTATCAAGTGTTTGGCAACGAGTACGTTCAAAGTGGCGAAACTTCCCAAGGGGTGAAAATTCTTCAACAACGTCATTCGAAGAGCAGTCAGTCATGTGCATCTCGACGGAAATTATATTCGCGGAGAGTAGAATTTTTCCGAGCAACAAGATTATTCAAAAGGGAAGATCAATTGCGAAGTTAAGGCTCCTGAAGCTTTAGATCAGTCAATCAAGCGTAAAATAGGCCCTGACGTCCACCGCTAATCATAAAAATTGGGACAGCGAAGGTAAAGCGGGATGTGCGTGTTTTGTACTGATTGTTAAACACCGAAGTGGTGCTTGTCACGCGACTTAATAAATGCCATCAAAATTAATGCTCGAGAAAACGGACAGAACTTTCATGAAAAATGCTTTTCGTGCTAAACGATTCTTTGCAGGCTACATAATGTCACCTAAAATCACAATTGCTGAGTACTGATCGTTATAATCAAAGTAATAGAAATATATAAATAATAATAATACAAATATAAAAATAACGTAAAATAATAATAATACAAATATAAAAACAACGTAAAATAACATAAACAACAGCATAAAATAACATAAAATAGACGTATAAAATAACAGCAAAGGATTACGTAATCATTTATTTAAAGCTATTAATAATCATAGAATACAGATTTTATTTGCTGAAGTTCACACGCGCATAATTTATTACGCCTTGATGACAAATTAAACAATGGCGAATAATACGCTCATTAAGGTTTCGTTCTTGTTAAGTATGGTTCTGTTAACTTTGAGTACGAGCGAGCAAATACTGTGCTGTGAAAATAATGCATTACTGGAGACCACAGGTGACGCTATTTTAACTGGTAAGCCGTTAAATTAATAATATTTTAATTAATTAGATTTGAATCTGAAAATTGCTTTACGTATAATTTATAATTTACGAAGAAATTAGTTTGCACTGTATTTAATTTAAAGCAATAAAAAGTTGTAAATATAATATATTATCTCTTAACAAATATACAGTTTAACTACTTATTTTATGAACCTATTTTATAAATATAAAGTATAACAAAAAACATATAAGTATCTACAAAAATGTTTTCCTGTCTCTTAAATGGTTTTTTTATTTAATCAATACGAGAAATTGAGAAAAACTTTTATGTTTTCTTTTTCTGACTTTCGACATTTGACAGTCTTCGTGGACGCCAATTATGGACAGCATTGTAATGTATCGTCGAACAAAGGTCTCCAACAAATTTTAACGGTATTACATGTCGTGCGAACTTTAAACGAATATAACCACATACCGAATGTGAAATTAGGTAAGTAAAATAGATCACATTAATTTATGAGTATCTGTATCGCATAGCAGTAAAAAAATAATTCGCAAAATAAAAATATCATAAAAATTTATATGGCAATTAGTCAAATAAATATTATTTTATGTTTTAATAAACAATCATTAATTTGAGAATACAAATTCTTTAAAGAAACAAACTATTACGCGCACTTTTGTGCGATAAGTCTGCTCGTGAACCGTTGCTTTTTATTACGTAGTATGAATTGTAGGTCATTTATGCACTAAAAATAGAGTTTGATAATTGCTACCAAATGTTTAATAAAATAATGCTAATTAAATTAAATGTTTATTTAATATAACTAAATATAATTTTGCCTTTACAAATATTTAATAAATATTACTAAATGACATAACCAACGACAATACTTACTAAATATTAATAAAGATCAAGTTATGTTTAATTATATTAATTAAACATTTAATTAGCATTATTTAACTAAATATTTCTTATCAAATTATTGTTTCAATGTGTATCATATTCCTTGTAATTAATTAGTTGTAAAAAATTGGGAAAAAAATTTTTATCGTTTTACATCTGTTTGTATTCTAAACATTTTTAAACTCAAATATCATATTGTTCTTTTCTATGTAACAAAACACAAAAGAAAATAGAAACTTTTTATATTAAAAAGAATCATAATTTTATAATGCGCTAAAAAAAAAAAGATTTGCCTAGATTCGTATTCTTGAGGAATGACTCTTCAGGGAAAAAGTATTTTAGAGATGTTCGCTAAAAAAAACCTTAATTATTTTAAGAAGTAAAAAGTGTCATTCTTTGAAATACTAAAACGAAACAATTTTTGGAAAAAACAAATAAATTTAATTTTAGTCGGAAAATTATTTATTTTGCATTATAAAAATATTAGAAAAAATTGTATTATATATTGTAAAAAAAATTGTTTGAGGAAGAAGGCTCAAAGGAATCGTCTTTATTGGCACTTTATACGTCATCTACGTCACTCAGGATATTTTCAAAGTCCACTTTATTCTCTGAACCACCGTCATAAAATATTTCAGTTTCTCGTAAAAGTTATTCAATTTTTTCACGATATCCGACTTTATAACGCAATGTGAACCGTGAATTTTTTACGGAATGCTTGCAATTTTACTTGCTCACAGGATTGTACGAAACTGATGAAAATCGTTAAGATTATATGTGTGTATCTCATGGTATACATTCAAAATGTTTAATAGGCACAATTCAAATAAAGTGTTTATTAAAATTTTTAATATTTTTTCACATTGCAATATATTCGCATAATCGAATTGCTGATCTTGTAGGGCACGTAGAGAAAAAATAAAAGCACGTATTATAGAGTCGCAGTATATGCTATATCGATTAAGCATACTACAACTATAAAACAACTCAATCGGTTCAACTGTTATTGAAATTCAGTAATCTCAGTCCCTCCCAAATTGCGGTCTCGCGTAAAATAGGTGCACGGTAGTATCGCTTCGCGCTTGCCTTAGTGCCGAGACATTACCATATCTCCTAATCTGTGAACAGGTAAAATCGTAAGCATTCTATAAAAGACCCACGTTTACATTGCGTTAGCAAAAAGCCAAATATCGAGATCTAGCAAAAGAATTAAGCGACTTTTACGATCAAGAGGAACTGAAATATAATATTTTATACTTCAGAGAATAAGGTGAGCTTTGAGAGAGGATGTTTATTAATATATTTCAGAAATCAAAACAATCCTTGAAGTATACTTGAAGTATAAGTTCTCATGAATAACTATTATGTTACACAGGTTTAAGAATTTTCGACACGTGTCATGATAGGATTACAGTGTTTCGACAAGTTTTGCGAATAGCGGTTGAACAAAGTTGCGCCCCAGATTATGAGATGGGTATACTGATGCCAGCCCAATATGGACCCATAATAGATTACCTTCAGGATTATAGCGATTTGCCAATCGTTATCTACGAGGAACGAGATTTCACGGTACCCATGATCGATATCCTGGCACATTACTTGAGCACCATGTACGAGATCGTCGATCTGGTGCACGCTAACACGGATTCTGTTCTCGATCATTTCCTGGAAGTTACCAAGGACGCTGGTGTGTGCGTGAAACGAAGTGACAGACGTGTCAACGGTGACAGGTACGCGAACGTCACGGAAACGGTGATAATCGCAATCGGTAAGAGAGATGACGTGCAACGATGGCTGGAGGAGAATGAGAAATCGAGAGATTCCAAAGAAACATGGTTCCTGCTACCGCTCGATAATTCGGATATTAACGGCAAGTAAATTTAGGTATCTCCACGAATAACAGAGAAATTCTTAAGGGATAATAGTTATTTGAGTTCTGCGTGATGATATATTTTATAAAGCAGATATATTTTTTATTAAAAAAAAAAAGATTATATATATGCTTATCTATCAAATATAAAAGTAAAAAGGATAGGAATCGAGCTAGTGGGAGTGTTTATCTAATGTCTTCATAATTTTAATGCAACTTGTTTGTTGTGAGCATAAGAATATTAATCTAAATTAGTGCTAACTGTTACATTACATTAAATATTGACGTCGTTATGTTCGTAACAGCAGTTACATTACCCAAGTGTAGCTGTGGTAGTTGAGAGTTAAGAGACAGTTTCACCAACATCGTTTAACTTTAACCCTAGTTTGAATGGCCTTTTGTTTCCGCCCAGAATTAAAGTTAAAACGAGACAAGGAGGCGGTTAAACTACGATTAGAGTTAATCGATGTTGCTACAACCATTAAATAAATTAACTCACATCTTCATTGAATCTAATGCAAAAAGGAATTCGCACAATGTGCAAAATTAAAATGGAAATCTGTTCATATTTCATACAAATATTTACTACATTTCTAGAAAAAAAGATTATGCATATATGATATATACATATACATATATAATCTTTTTATTTGTAATAGAAATTTAGTTTCAATAACTTATTCTACTACCAATAATTCCAGATATCTAACAATAAGCCGAAATTTGAATGAGAGAGATATTAATCTAAATTTAGCATGCCAACAATATCTTCAACTTTCCGCAGACCTCATACCATCTGGATCGTATGTCATTAAACCGGAAATTCCTCGTTTCGATCTTGGCGAGTTCTCAAGCGCGAGTGAATTCCTGGAGAACTCCAACAACTCAGTGAACCACTCTCCGTATCTTCTCGACATTGGGAAGGCCGTCATCAAGTTGGCGGAAGTCTTCCAGGACTTCCGCAAGAGAAGCTGCGCTATCGAAGAGGAGAGTAACATTATGACGCAATCCTCAGAATCGCAGACATCAGAATCGCAGCGGGAAATTCGTGATTTTGATGTCTACGAGTTCCTTCATATGCAATCGGGATCACACTCGCTAAGATACGTGGTCACCACGAAAACGCAGCACGAGCTCAACGACGTCGCTTTTTACGAGATCTTGGTGCCCCAGTTACGCGTTCTTCCGGAAAGGACAACGTCCGGAACGCCGGGGCTCTGTTTGGAGCATCTCATTAAGAATTGCGAAAACTGCACAAATTTTCAGGATCGCGATACGAAAGGTAAAAATGATGTAAATGTAATTACTACGAGTACATAAATCACATGAGGCACACGCACACCGAGTTGCTGTTGAACAATCTTGCAACGTATAACTATACGAATGGTTTTACTAAAGTATCTAACAATTTAACTATATAGATACTGATCTGAAAATAATTTTATTATAGACCATCAAAATAATTATATAGTCGTCCAAATTAATTGCTAAAATATTAAAACTTTTTATGGCATTGCTTGAGATTATTAGATATTTTGATAATTCAAATAAAATTATTTTCAGATCTGTATTTATTTATTTATTTTTAGAGAGAGAAGATATATATATATATATACTTCAGTATAAAATCATTCTTCCCGTATAAATATTAAATTCTAGTTTTCGTATTTTATTACTCGTATAATTTTTACCCAAGAATTTATCTGAAATGTGTGTATCATGTACAAATTTCTCTATCGGAATTGTAAAATTATCACAAATTTTTAAACTATGTACGCATTATTTTTCGAGAGATTAATTGCTTGCCTGTAATGTATCGATTATTTTGATATTTCAGTACACGTTGTTGGCAAAAATGTCCTAAAAAGCAGCTTCTACGTTCCTGTATTTTTGATTGTCATCATGTGTGGTACTCTTATGTGCTGCGTGATGGTGATTTTTATCGTCTATCGTTTCGCAACCAAAGAAATTTTCGATAGCAATTTGGTCCTCACAATCGTCCTCGTCCTGACCAACATATTTATCCTACTGACGGCACTGCCCTTCTACGTGACGGACGATTATTTCGGCGCGGAAAACTTGAACGCATGGAAGATTCTCCTCACCACTCTCGCATTTGGCCTCACATTCTCAATCATGCTCTCGAGAGCACTCTTCTTAGCCATGTCCACAGGTGGTGTTTCCATCATCCACGTTAATGGGTATTTACAGAGTCTTATGGCGTTCTTCGTATACGGTGTACAAATCGCTATGTCGGTCATGTATTTCGTTCTGAGTACAATGAACTCAGCTGTCGTCGTCAGGAGTCTTATTTTTGTTGCATTACTAGGTATATTAACAGAATTGTTTATTAATTTTTTCTTAATTTTTGTATCTTCTAAATGGATTGTTTTTCTCTTAGAAACTTTAATTTATGTAGTTTGCCTTATTCTAATTTCTATCTTTAAAAGGTTTATTAGTATTTTATTATATTAATATTATTCACGTATTTTTTTACCTTTAGAAACATATCAAATTTTATGTTTTAAAGGTTTTTCGAAATTGAACTGAGAATTGTATTGCAGTATTGCTTTTCTTGTTAAAATTATAATTTCCATTGTGTATTTTCAGGATACGATATATTTTTGTTAATTGCACTCTTCGTCGCTTACTACTTCATTATCCGAATACAAGGTAATCATCACGAAGGAAAATATTTCTTCGGAACAGTTATCGGTTTGCTGATAATATGGCTAATATGGTTGACTTGCTTCACGTTAATGCAACCGGAAAATCGTGACGTAGTCGTTTCCCTCGGTATAGTCGCTACGGCTTATTTAATTATTTTTGGTGTCTTAATACCAAGGATATATTACATGATTACACACACACCTAAAAGGAAAGATTCAGGGCAAAGATTCGATCCTATCAACCTATTAACCGATTCGACTGTTAATACAATCAGGCAGGTCAGAACGCTGTATATTTTCTTTGTATTTTTAACGCTCTACATTTTCTCTTAATTATTAAGGCTCCTGAGTAATCACCATAGCCATACTGAATCGTGACGTTGAAGCTAGATGTCAATTTTTGTTACATGTCATTTGTAAGTAAAGACAAAATTTGAATAAAACAAAATGATCAGACTACTTCGAAACATTTGTAAAAATAAACGAAAATGATACTTATCTCCCCTGACAGTCAGTAAATAATCATAAAGAGTGATAAAAGGTATATATAAGTGAAAATAGGCTACGCACGCGCAATGAATAAAAGCACTTCACGTGCCTTTTATCACTTTTTACGATTATTTACTGACTGTCAGGGGAGATAAGGATAACTTTCGTCTATTTTTGCAATTGTTTTAAAGAGATCGCAATCTCATCATTTTATTTTATCCAAAATGTCTTTATTTACAAATAGTATGTAATAAAAATTAATGTGTCATTTCTTGCTTCTGACGTCACGATTCAATATGGTGTGGTGACTGCTTAGGAGTATTAATTATTAAAAATAATAACGAATTTTTGATACTAATATTATTATTAATAAAGTGCGTTATCAATTATAATTTTAATTATAAATATAATTAATTAATTTTCTTAATTGATATTTTTATCATATTATGTAAATTAATTTAAATTTATTTAAAAAAAAAAACAATTTAATTTTTTTAATAATAATAAGGGAACATTGCGTTTGCAGTCATATTCCTCCCACAATTATGTTTATCCTGCTCGAGAAAGTCATTCAAATTACTATGGTAATTTAAACTCAAATCCAAAATACTTCGAGAGATGCCGAAGTTTAAATCACTACGAAACGCCTACATATAATAATTACGAATGTTATGCGGAAATGAAGGAAATCGACGCTGCTTACGTCATGCCGCGAATGTACGTCGAGAACATTGAGGTGAATATTCATTAAGTCGTAAAAGATTAATCAATTTTTTATAAGTAGATAAATAAAAAAAAAAGCTGTTTTCCCAATACTGCTCAATATAAATGCAATTTATGTATATTAAAAGATAATATCTAGTTTATAATAATATTAAAAATTAAATTGTATAAAAAAAAATCATTATACACAAAAATCCGTCAGACATATATACAGCCTTAATTTAAATATGTTCAAAATTTTCAGTTTTTAGCAACAAATAACGTCATTTACGCGCAGCCAAAAATCTATAGATCTCAGAGAATAAATTTGGAAGAGAGAAGCAACACAGAAACCACTTGTAATAGAGATAACTCTTCACCTATCTCTAGACAACACATCGAAATGTATTCCATAAGATACACTAGCCCAACGTATATGGCAAAGAAAGGAAGGATCAATGAAAAAGAAGAAGATGAAGAAGAAGAAGAAAACGAAAAGAATCAGGAGGACGAAGCTGCCAGTAAAATTACCCGCTTTTGACAACTTTAAAATCTACTTAATTTTTAATGCTCTATATCTTTATAAATATTTTTATAAACTTTTATGAAATATAAATAAAGAATCTCGCACAAACCTTATGGAAAATGGATTTCCGTCAAATTGTCCCAAATTTTATAGCTCATGTCAAACTGATTAAAAATCCTTACGGGCATAAACCTCCAAATACCTTATTTTTGCTCCAGAACCTTCGAAAGAGCATCACATCTTATACAGAAAAATAGTCCAAATAAATTTTTATTAACATAAGTTCATTAATACTGTATAATATATTATGGATATAGATACGTATAATATATTATGGATATATTGTATACATATGTGTCACGAAAAAAACTGTCTAAATATCTCAAAAAATTTTTCAATATAATTTTGAAAAATATTTATTATTACAGTATAAAATGTTCTGAAAAAAAACTCTAAATTTATTTTCTAATTTCAATAAACATATTAGGATTTTCAAAAAGATAAGCAAGACTTACAAAAATCAAGCACTCTGTTAGTGTATTTAAATGAAGCATTTAAAAAAATGAGACGCTTGTTACGTTCACATCGTTCATTCCAGGTAATTTAAAAAATAAGCGTCAAACTAAAATCATAAACACTCCATTGATACAAGTCTTAAAACAAAAATTAAAATATTTAGAAGTTGGTGCCCGTGAAGAATTTTAATCAGCTTAACATAAACTAAAAAATATTAATATTTTAAGCAATCTCAGAATAAAGCCCATTTTCTGTAAGACTTATGTGGGGTTATTTATAATAAAATATAGTTAATAGATTTAAACCAAATTTATTAAGAAATATTCAAAGGAAATGAAATAAAAATTAATAGAACAAAGTTTTTTTCTACATTCGTATATTTCATATTCGTTTTTGCAATTTTATCAAATAGTGAAAAACCATGATGTAATGTTCCACGTGTAAGTATAATTACTATTGTTCAATACGTCATTACCTTCTGCATTTTCCTTATCTGCTAAATATTTACAAATAATAATAAAACCTACACAATGTAGCATAGTAGACGTAACAAGCGAATGATAAGAAAAAGATCAGAAACGATATTACTATCAACATATGTATGTGACAATTTTTTTTGACATTCCTTGATTTTCAAATGAGAATAATAATAAAATATCAATAAAATTTATTTACATTCATAAAACGTCTACTTTTTTCTGATAAAATCATTACAAATAAATATGTGCATGCAAAGGAACGCGTTGTCACCATCTTATTGATACATGCAAATAATCTATTATTAAATTTTTTTTAAATCATTAAAATCACAATTATTATAAAAGTTTAAGCATACGTACGAACTCAAATTAAAAGAAGACAGATTATAAAATGCATGTGTCTTTACACGAAATATAAATCTGACAAGAAGATTGAACATTTTGAATCTATTTTAGCCCACCGTGCATCATAATTTGAACAATTGATTTTCAATGTTTCGTCGCAAAAGAAAATGTTTTATAGAATTTGAAACTTTAGTTTCAGGAATCTATATGCATTACACAAAGTTGCATTTCAAAAAACATATATTTTTATATGAATTGCGCAAATTTGCGACAACAAAAATACATACATACATACGCGGACGATAGATAGCACAGCTAGTAATTATTTCACATTATAATTGGCATTTTTTTCTTATAAATACGCCAAATAAGCAACATGAATCCCATTAGCACAGCCGTTCAAGCCATTCAAGCTTCAGCTGTCAATAACACTGTAAAAATATGGGTTATAAGATTTTACATCTGTTAATCTTGGCATTCGCCATAGTCTGTATCCAGGCTCGTTATGCTTCACGTGGTAAGTTAAAAAAAAAAACATTATGTTTACACTCATCAAAATTTTTCTTCCACAACCTGATATATATACATATACCATTTAAATTAACTATAAAATAAAACACATTATTGTGGCATGTATCTTGCACGTGCGTTTTCAACCTTTTCTACTTATTTTTACATTTCTTGCTTCTTGTATTTTTTTTTTAATTTTCGCGGCACATTTAGAGACATTTTATGACACATCGAATAAAAAATCCTGATGTTATTACATGTTTAATTGTAAATAAAGATTGTACTTATATTCCTATCAAGTAATGTATTGGTCGGTGCAAAAGTTTTGCCGATTCTTTGTAATTTTATTTATTATAATAAGAATTATATATTAATATTTACCATCGTTTTCCACAATTTTTTTTCATCTTTCCAACAGTATACCGACAACTACCATGTCGAAAAAAGAAATCATACTTTAAGGCAATCCATTGATCGACCCATTTTCGTATATCTTTGACTATTTTGTATCTCCAGTTACAATACATCACAAAAAACTTTCTTTTTTGCTTAGCAAACAACGAAAAGTATCTGTTGTACCGGTTGCCAATTGTGCGTTCGGATAATTCATGTGGCATCCACTTTCCATACTTCTGGATTTTTTCTATTGCATTCAAATGGCGAAAACAATTGTTGAATGATCAACTCCCAGTTGTATTGAAAGCTCATGAGTGGATTTGGTTGAATCTTCATTAAGCAATGCTCGCAATTCATTCTCTTCCACAGTTGCAAAATATTCGAAACATTCTTTATCACTAATATTGAAATCACCGTCTTTAAATTGCTTAAATCAATCCGCACACGTTCTAATGGCTATAATATTTTCACCATATGTGTCACAAATGATTCTGTGTGCAGCATTTTTCTTTTGGTGAAAACAAAACGAAAGGCAGTGACAAATATGCTCTTTATCTAGCTCCTTTTTTAATTATTATATGTACTATAAATGTAAGGCTATATCTTTTGACATTTATGGTTTGTCGTGCACAACTGTTAATACAGAGATGCCGATTTACAAAAATCATAAACATTTCTGCAGATAAAATTGTACTTAAGACATATGTAGATGTTCTTATCCGTATCGGGAAGAATTTTTGCACCAACCTGATATAAAATAATGACTTACAATTCTCGTCAAAATTATATTTATTCACTTTAATAAAAAAGATTTTTTTTTTGTGTAAAAGGATTTTAATAAAACAGATTTCAATACACAAAAAACTTTACAGATTTCTTTGAACAGGAAGTCCATGTACTATATATTTAAATATTAATGATATTTGAAATAATAAACGTTTGACACTTTTTCAGAGTCACACAGTGAGATCGTAGAGTCATCGCCAATAGACGAATTTGAGTCCACTGAGTCATCGAATGAATCCACAAAGAAGATAGTAGCTGTAGAAAGAAATTCATCCGTACGCTCATTATTTCGTATCATAGACCGAATGTGTCAGTTCCTTCCAAATGTTTCAGAAGAATTGTTAGACACATTATATGACAGTGTCAATTATGTACAAGATCAGATAGATATATTGGGAAAGTGTTTCGCCACACTAATAGAAACAATCAGTAAAATATTTTTCTCCCCGATATCAAATATGCTTGGATTGGAAAGTGAGTTACCAAATATAGGATCGAAGCAGGGTTTGTCACAGGAGTCAATTTTAAACTTTGCGCTCATGCTCGAATACCTCGAAGCCGTTTTTTACAGTAATGCTACAACCGGGCTATCAATCCAATGAGGAGGACTATAGAGGCAATGATGAAGAAGATGGTTACATCATAGGCTACATATAAATGCTACAATAGGCAAGTAAGGGCCGTATTGTGTAGTAGGTTAACATTCTAAAATTATTCAAACTTGGCGAATTATACAATGACAATGGCAAGAATATCATTTCGTCGATGAATATGTTTTCTATTATGAATTTATATTTGTCTTAAGTACATAAAAAATAATGATAATGATAAAAATTGTTAAAAATGATACCAAAAATATATATATGTAATATGTTATACATATAAATATATGTGGATGATGTATAAAATATATGCAGCAAATTAATTTCTTGGAATATTCTATTTTGAATAACTGAATGCGTAGAATGTATGATTTCAAGAAATTATATATACATGTATACACACATTTATTCTACACATTACGAAAGATCTTACGAGTATAATAGCGACAAATTATTTATAATTATGTAATCACGTGAGCTCAATAGTAATGGCGGATATTCTTGGCCCAACAATTATTTGAATGCGTTTAGGCTGTAGATAAGTTCCTGCGGCCAGACACAAGCGATAAGTCCCTGAGGTACAAATGCTTTCTTCCTCGTTGAAGGAATCATAGAATTTTGGGCAAAATAAGATTACATAAGGATGGTTATAATACATACAGTATTATTCAATACAGATATTATCGTTCCACGGAAGTCGACTTTACTTTAAATGATCATTCAAGTATCGCTTATTGCTACTTAAAATTATTTTCTACGATAGAATAATTTTGTCGAATTTTGTCGTATTTACCAAACATTCACGCGTTACTCATAATTGAGCTGTTCAAAATGCTCCAAGCGATATATTTATTGTATCATCTGCAGTTGCAGTTGTTATTTAAAAAAAACATCCAAATTAGCGAAACCTCAAGCCGAACCTTAAATCGAATGTAAAGCCAATCCTCGACTCGACGTGTGCCTGACAACGTTTCATACTATTTTGCAAATAATTAATTCATTCATGACATATAACGAAGTCATGAATTATTATGCGAAGATAGTCTACGAGCGTAGTTTTCCAAAAAGGAGGAAGCCATGATTACATTGTCCTACATTTAATTAATATTAATCAATAAAAATAATGTACATTTCTACTTTTGTTTTGTGCAATTTATCAAAAGAAATATATAAAAAAAGATAAATAGTTGTTATGAAAAGTAAATAGTTGTCACGATAGACCAGTCAAATAAAAAAGTGACTAAAATGTTTGAAAGTTTATTGTCTTTCTAAAAGACGAAATATCTGCAAGAACGATACGATTTAAGGAGATTCTCGCATTATACTTTCTAATCAATAGACAGTTTATTAATACATAATGATGTGTAAAACGATTAAAATA